GTTGGTGAGTCGTGTATGGACCCGTTCTAGATACCAAAATATATGTTCAATAATTTTACATTAAAATAAATTTGGTGTATCAAAATGTAAAATGTATATTATAGTGACTAAATTGTGATTTAATTAAATTTGAGGTATGAAAATGTGAATAGTTACGCAACACTAACAGTCCTTCAGGTTTATATATATTAATTGGTAAATTCTCCATTCTTTATGTTTCTCTTAAAACTTTCCCTCTTTTTTAACGGAACCAAAATAGGGGAAAAGATGAATTAATTATCGAAAGAGAATTTTTATATATCTATAGATAGGCTTTTATTCGACGGTAATAATGAAAATTTAATTCCATATATCTTTCCCTTGAAACTTCATAAAGTTTTAGAGTTTGGTACGGTAATTTTGTTAAACTTTAAATTATAGCAATGTCGATTCTAGCGAGTTAATTTTTTACGTTGAGTATACAGTACTCTGGGTACTTCTAATTTTTTTTGTTATTATTTAGATCATGACTTAAATCGAGTTTGAGATATGATAAATTTTAGGTCTCAATTCTCTAAATTCGTATATGAAGAACAATTTAATATACAATAACACCCCACGATTAGGATAGTTGAAGTAATAAGATTATATGAAATATTGTGTACTCTGGAAATCGTTACTATATGTTAAAAAAAATAAAGATCTATGAAAATTGGCCGAAAACTAATATTAGCACCAAATTCAATTTTCATACAATTCTTAAAACAAAGGGTCATCTCAATAAAATAAAATAAAATAAAACAATTCCGTTCACCCCTTATTGCCGAGATTGCAACTCAAGACATGTACTTGAAATGTTGCCGAGTTTTTGGTTTAAATCTTCAAGGGTTAATTGAGAGGGGAATGGTGAATTTTTGTTTTTGGATATTAATTCAATTAACGCGAGTAAGCAAGGTAAGTGTTTTAAGTAGGGGTGACTATTTGGTCCAAGCTTTTTGGACCGTATAACTCAGATCAAACCCGGATCAGGATCGGATAGCAAACAATCCAATCTCATTTTCGAGTTTACATTTGATGTAAAAAACCGTTCAGGACCGGACCAAAAATCGGATAAAAGAGCCCAACACCCAAAATTTAACCAACTCCTCACCCTTTTAGACCCCAGGCCACTCAAATTTCCACAAACTCAATCTAAAATCAAGACCGAATTGGGACCGAACTGTATCCAATTCAATCTTTAGACCTTATATTCTCGAAAAGACCGGACCAAGACTGGATCAATTTAACTGGACCGGTCCATATAGCCACCCTAGTTTTAAGCATTTGCCAAATTGGCCTTCGTCCAGCACCATCCGGTCTCTAAGGGATAGAATGTCAGAGTAATTTTTTTTTCATTTTGAATCGGATGGGAGTAAATATTATAGATTTTTATGGGGTTAATTGTATGGTTGGTCACTGAGATTACAAAAAACGTTCATATTTGGTCACTGTAAATATTTAAATCCAATATTAGTCACTCAAATTAGTTAAATGGTTCAAGTTTGGTCACTCTCCGTCCAACTCCGTTAACTTTTGGTTACGTGGCAGTCAACTCTTACAGTTGACCGTTAAATGTGTGACATGGCAATTAAAAAATAAAAAATTTAATTATTTTAAATTCAAGTCATTATTACACTATTAAAAATAAAAAATCTTTTAGTTGTGGCCGCCATCACCGGCGCTGGACGTGCCTCAGCAGCGTGGGATCTGGGTTCGTTGCCACGGCGGTGGAATTGATCGCCGAGAAATGGCTCACTGATCTCAAATTCGTTCACCGGAGCAAGCAGGGAGGAAACAAACAGTGTCTCCGGCCAAGACCCTAGAGTTAATACTAACAATAAATTTACCTTAACGTCCTGGATCTCTGACGGTGAAATAGGTGTGCTGTCGGTGAGTGAACCGTTGAGTGGGTCGCTGCTGTGTGAAAGCCTGCCGGAAGTTCTCGGAGACACCTCTTGCTGGATATCGGAAATTTTTTTTATCAAGAACAAAACAGAGCACTGTACATTAGTCAGAAGGATTGGTTTGATGGAAAAATTACTCAGGTACTCTGCTTCTCATTACCAGCTCAGTAGGCCTCAAGAAACGGACAAATGCTTCACCTAATTACGGTCGATTATTAAAATGATAAAAAAAAACAAAAAAAAATCCCTTGATCCATTGAAATGAAAACGGCAAGACTCGGGGAAACTAAGTATTCATCGAAGTAGACCTTCCCCGATTCACTATTCATTAATTTAATAAAGAAATGGCTACTGAAATGTGCGGGAGGTAGGTACTCTGTTTTTCTTCTTCTTATTCTTCTCCACTAGACGTTACAAAGGAGAGCATAAAGGGGAAAAGAAGCTCACCGAGTGGGACAAGATACGGTCCATGACCATCTGGGAGGTCTCGGAGGAAGCGAAGGAGGAAGCAAACAGCGGCGGCGCTGCATCCTCTCGTCCACCAGAGCCTTCCCCGTCCCGTCGGCCTAGACACCGCCACTCTACTTCTCTTTGCTATCACCGATAGCCTGTATATCAACCCAATCGATCTAATTTCTTGTTTCCTCCAAGTGGAAGAGATGAAAATGAGAGGTAACTTTTGGGGCGGACGAAATCCCTAGAGAGGGTTTGTGACGGAGAGATGCATGAATGAAGGAAGAAGCTGTTGTGATGAAATCGACCACCACTGCAAAACAGGGGAACCACTACACAATATCTTCTTCCCCGAACGCCCGACATCCTCTCCCCTAGCACTCTCGACCGATTCAGACTCACCGGGAGCTGCTACGCCAAACATCGACCATCTTCACTCAACCTTCCTCGCCATATGGTTCCGCCGCCGTTGAAAGCTCCAAAAATTAGGTTATGGGTTTGCTCAACAATAGACGGCGGAGGAGGCAATTGGGCAAAGTTCCTGTTCATTCTCCCTTACCCAGTCCCCACCGGCGATTCTCCTAGCAGAAGAAAAGATGGGCTTCTTTGATGTTCAACTCCTCCCATCAATTCACAGAAACACAGATCCACCACTCTGCTTGTGCCGGTGACAATTAAAAGAATTTATTTTACTTTTCTATTTTTTAATAGTTTTAATAATGAGGTGGAAAATAAAAAAATTAAATTAAATTTATTGTATTATTTTTTAATTGTCACGTCACATATTTAACGGTCAACTGTAAGAGTTGACTGCCACATAAGCAAAAGTTAACGGAGTTGGACGGAGAGTGACCAAACTTGGAATGTTTAACTAATTTGAGTGACCAAGATTGGATTTAAATATTTCTAGTGACCAATTATGAACGTTTTTTGTAATCTCAGTGACCAACCATACAATTAACCCGATTTTTATGGATACTGAAATTATTTGGGTAAATATTATAGACTTGTATCCTGAAAAATGTGGCAAAATACACTCATATTGTTAGATTGGAAAAATATACCAAGCAATATTTGCTTAACACGTCCAATCAATTTTGGATGTTAGCACTGTAACCACATCGTACTGAGAGAAAGACAAATCATTTTCATGCATAAAGTAAAGTAGTAAACACATGATATCTTTGGAGCAAAAGAAGTTTTTAGTATAGTAATGATGATATAGGCTAGCTAAACCATCGAGAAGTTATTATGAACGGTCATACGACTTATCATTTAGTACAAAATGATCACTCAAAATTTAATTTTGCATATCTCAATAAAAGACGTTATGACGAATATCAAAGTAGCCATTCTGTCCACTTCTATCCAAAAGTCTGTTAACCAACACACCACGCCAACAAAATAAATAATAAAAACTTCAATAACGCAACCGAATCACACTCAACCCACCTGACCCAAAGACTATACCCGAATGTCCTTGAGTTGGAGATAAGACTTGTATATTCGCTCTTCTCTGCAGGACAACAGAGCGATTCAGCTCCCCTGCTTGCATTACCGTACCCTCACATCGACCCTTGTCGTCCATTGAATCCAAAACTGTCTCTCACCTCTACCAAAACCATCCTACGAGCGAGCTTCCCTCATCAAACACTCTATCCAAAAGTGAACATAAGAAACATAGTCCCAAATTCGTCATCACGCCGCTCTTTAGGGTCGACGAGCTCGAATTTGACTGCGAATTTGAATTGGAACTCGACACCCCGAAATGATCCGAACGACCCCACCCCCCACCCTTAACACCGAATCAGGGCTCAAAAACTTGGCAAAAACGACGGACATTGAGGTAAGCAAACTTCGTTGATGAACATAAGTGAAATTTTTTACTCCAAATATGTCACGTGAGCACGTAGATAATGATCGTAAAAAATTTCGTTACAAGATATACCATAGTAAGTATTGACTTATACTTCATTATTATTGCTTAGAACATCTGAGAAGACCAAGCTTACTGCATCTGGGCAACAAGGAGAAGGGAGCGGTTACGGTGGTAACTTGGTCCCTGTAGCCACCGTGGTTACTAAGGGTAGTGATGGTATTTTGGTGCTTATTGTTTTGGTAGTGTTGCATATGGTTATTGGTAGTGTTGACGTAGTGGTATTCTGATATTCTGATGCTTATTGTTTTGGTAGTGGTGCATATATTTATTGGTAGTGTTGACGTTGTGGTATTAATATATATTTGTTTGGATGGATTGGGATTGAATATCAAAAGAATTACTTGCATTTATGTTAATTGCATTGAATTAATTACAGTGGAGAAATAATTTTATACAAAAACTATATTATTCGCTCTATATATCTCTCTCTATTTGATTCTACCTCTTTGCCTTCCTCTGATCCTTTCATCCTTGTGCTTCAACGATTGTAACCATCTGTACTTTTTTCGACTACCTAACAAAAAATCAATACCAATACGAAAAATTAGTACCAATCTAGACAAAATAAATACCAATCCAAGAAAGATCAATACCAATACCAAAAATCCATACTAGTCTAGAAAATCAATACCATTATAAAAAAAACGTACCATTATTAATTACTTTTTTTAATAAAGTACATTTTAGGAAATTACAAAATTATATTAACTACCATTTCTCTCTTTTTCTCTCATTTTCACAATGTTCAGCCATATGCTTCTTCCTTCCTTTTCTCAATCTTTCCATTGATTTCGTTCTGTCGAACTAATACCGCTGCAACAATAAAATAATATCAATCCATTACAAAACACTACCGTTGCACAAAATACCAATATCATTCGAGAAATAAAAACACTACCATTTCACAAAAACACCAATACCAATGCGACAAAAATAATACCATTGCGAGAAAATCAATAACAATGCGATAAAAACAATACCATTGCGACAAAAATAATACCAATGCGATAAAAACAATACCATTGCGACAAAAATAATACTAATGCGACAAAATCAATACCAAAACAAAACAAAAAAATCCATACAAAAAAACACGAAATCACTACCAATCCATTAGACAACCACTAACATCAATACCATTGCAGAAATAAATCTATACCATTACACGAAAACTACCAATATAAACAATATATACCATTGCATATATGAAGAGAATTATGAACATTGAGGTTTGAACCAATACCATTAGACTTTGAAGAACTACCAGACTAGCATTGTTAATACTAATACACGTGTAATGAACCAATACCAATCTAAAATGTCACTACCAAACGAAGATGAATGAATATCATGTTGTTATATAACCAATACCACTGCACATCGAATCAATACCATTGCAGGACTACCATTACACAAAGGACAAACAATACCAAATAGTAGTGTACTACCAAAAGAAAAGGCGATTTTCCTTAACGAATGTCATTACCAATACCATTGCTTAGTAAAGCAATACCATTATGCAAATAAAAAAATTGCAGACAGTGGAGGAATACGATTACAATTTACAAACCAATAACAAATACTAATTAAAATTATAAGAGCTAATTATAGTGCAACAAAATGATCACTCGTATCAAAGAAAGCAATAATACATGGAAAATATACCCAACCAAAAATAGTTCCTCAATATCAAAATTGAAAACGTAAAAAAAAAAATCACAAGAACAAATCATTTAACGAAGAATCAAGGAAGATTATTCCTATTAGCAGCAACTTTACAAGAACACATCATTCCTCACTAGTCACTAACACAAACAAAATCACAAAAAGAAAAGAAAATAACCTGGTGTTGTTGGTAGAGACGTGTTCAAATAATTCCAGCTAATAGATAGAGAATCGATTTCTTTTTGTTAAGAGGGGAAATTGAGAGTTACGGTTTCTTTGAGGACGGCGTGGGAGGGGTGGTGTGGGGACGGCGGGGGAGGGGAGAAGGCGGGAGGCTGGGGAGAAGAAGAGTTGTTGTCGGGTGGGAGGGGAGAAGAGGGAGGAGGCGGCTGCAATTTCTTGTCCGGAGAAAGAAGGGCCGTCGGCAGGTAGAAGGGGAGGAGAAGGAGGAGGAGATTGCATTAGGGTTTGCGGTACAATATATAAAAATAATTTTTTAAAGAATAGTAATCAGGTGTTGTATTATTTTCGTTTCCAAAATTATCCTTCATATAATCTCCACCGTCAACTTAAAAATAGGATGAAATAGATATAATTAAGGGTGTAGATGTTAGTAGCCACTGTGGTTACTCAAAATTTAATAACCACTCTAACGCATTCCCAAGGAGAACAATGCAAGATTGCTTAGAACTTGTCAGGATCATCAGATTAATTAAGCGCAAGCATAGTTACCATATATAAGAGTTTCTCTTATTTCCTTCTCAGACAATAAGTATATATTATGATCATATATTTCAAATGGAAACACAAATGGTTTTACACTTTCACCTCACCTATACAACAAGCTGCTGCTAAAACTTAATAGGGTTTGATTTTTCTGGCAAAATGAGCGTTCTTTCTATACATGCATAGAGGTGTCTATCTCCTAATTTTTGCTTCTTGTTTCCTCTCGAATCGATTCGATGTTGTTATCGTTTCTGGAAATTGAGGAATTTGATACTGTAGGCAAACACAAAAATGAAGAGAAACACAAATACAAGGTGGGCAAACACAGCTTCCCCCAACTTGTCAAAGTCATAGCCAAAAATTTCTTTAAGGAACACATCCACCGGTACCAGTTCTGACGATGTAGGAACTTCTATGAGATTGTTTAGATCACCAAACTGAGAAGTGAAAGCACCCTTGATTGTCCATGCAAGCGGGCACATCCAATAGTACCATCTCCACCACACTGGAATTTCCTGATTGTCAACAAAGGGGGAACGAAAATGTTCACAATACAATTAGAGATTTCTTTTCAAGTAACGAGTAGAAAAAAGGATTCAAAGTGGCATGGTCTAACTCAGTCTAGAATCATCTTAAAAGCTCAATCGATTTGATTCGGTTTTGGTACAATGTTCCTATGTTTCGAAAAGACCCATGTAATCGAAACAAAATAATCATCACGAATTTGGGAATCAAAGTAAAAGCATATTGTTTTTGTCCAATCCATTGGACCGACTAGTGTCCTTCCCCATACTGGGAGACAGAAGCTAGAAAACAGCAAATGAAATTTGGAGTTGAAGAACAGTAGACAACTTACCATTTTTGGAATGAAGATGCCGCTGAACAAGTTCCATACAGTTGTGAAGAACAACATTACGATGGAAGCAATCTCTAGATTTGGAGACACAGAAACCGTCATCATTCCATATATAGAGAAGTATGTGAAGCACATGAAGAGGAAGTAGTAGAAGTAGGCGAACTTCTGGAAACTCCAATGATAGCCAATCATTGAGTACAAAAGAATGGCATAGATCATGGATTGCATAGAGACATAGATGGCCTCTATGAAAACCTATTCCAAATAAAGAATGATCATTAGTTAGGTTGTGTCAACTGTAAGAACTTTGTTGATTACTACCTTCAAATGTACTTACTTGAGCAAATGCGTAAGGTAATGCTGAGTACATTCCGGCTGCTCTTTCGCGATAAAACACTGTTCTTTCCATTGCTACAACGGGTTGTATTGCAGCTGCATTGCTTGCACCGAGGAAAAGGAGAGCAGCATAAGTCGCTCCAAGAAGATTTATTAGGTCTTGTTGTTTATGTCTGCAAAAAAAAAAAAAAAAAAAAAATTCTAGGATCAACAAATCATTCTGTTTAGAAATACAAGATTTTTTTTTGGAAAGCAAGATGTTTGAAATGTACATTTTGTCTCCCTTGCTCCAAAAAACAATACCAAACATGATTCCAATGACTATTGTCACATAAAATCGGATAGCATTATATTGTGAGTTCCTCCAATATGACAAATGTTGTTTCCAAAGACACGCTTTGCATTGAGTGAAGAAATTCTGTGAGAATCGAGTTGGAAAGTGGAGATTCTCAGAAGCTGCAGTTGGAGTACTTAGTTCTTTGATGAGCTCCTCATTCCGCCTGTGTGCATAAACCCAAATTGTTAAAAGTGCCGAACTTTTAGAAAATTAAACACAACATGATGCTAATTATCTCTACCTGTAGAGATCGGAACTTGCATAGATTTCAGCAAAGTCAACACGAAGTTTTGCCTCGACTGTAGTAGAGGTGACTTCCAGCATCCAGGTGGCTGGATTATAGCCTTCCGCGATCTTGGTCACTCCTGGAATGGTCTAAAAGAACATAGGAACTTAATGTGATATTACCAAAAAAAATCGAGTCAATTAGCTCAATATATGAAGAAGATGCATATAAAGTGATAGCTAACCTCAAAATATCGAACTAACTCGATAGACTCATGGCCTAAAGGACCAGCATATATCACTCTCCCTCCTCTTTTCATTAACAATAACTGCATCAATAGATGATTGCATTTGATTGTTACAATCTCAGCACAAAGAAATCAATTCAAAGTTGTGATGGTATCATAGATTAACAAACAAAAAAGATTGAGACGTGCCTCATCAAAAGCTTCAAAGATACCAATGCTAGGTTGGTGGATCGTGCAGACAACTGTTCGACCTGTGTCCACTGTATTCCTTACAGTACGCATAACTATAGCTGCAGCTCTAGCATCAAGGCCTGACGTGGGCTCGTCCATGAAAATTATAGAAGGATTAGCGACTAATTCCACTGCTATAGTCAACCTCTTTCTTTGTTCAGTTGAAAGTCCGTTCACTCCTGGGTCTCCCACAAGAGAATTCCTTATTGGGTTTAGCTCAATCAACTCCATAACTTCTTCCACAAACATCTGGAGAGAAAAAATTCAATTAGCAAAAATAGGGGAGAAAATAAGTTAGAAATCCAATTTCGATGTTGTTAGATCACTTGCCTTTCTAGTTTCTGCATCTATATCAGACGTGAGGCGTAACCAAGCAGAGAAAATAAGGGATTCATAAACAGTAACATAAGGCGAATGAATGTCATTCTGCTCACAGTAGCCAGCGACTCGAGCAAAAGTGTCTTGGTTTTTCGGGTAGCCTGATACACTTATGCTTCCTTCAATGTATCCACCAGTTTTTCGTCCTGCTAGCACGTCCATCAAAGTGGTCTTCCCAGCCCCACTAGCTCCAACTAATGCTGTCAAAACACAAGGTCTGAAAGCACCACTAACATCTTGTAGTAGTCGTAATCTACTCTCTTCAAATCCTTTACTCTTCATTCCCTACAACGCCACAAAAACAAATAATTTTTTTATACAAAGAAAACCAGTAAAAAGTCTCAATATTACATCTATGAATTCAAACCATTGCTACTTACAGCAGGCATATCCACATAATAATTCACATGGTGGAAAGCAAGCGAAAGAGGTTGGAAAGGTAGAACCATCCCCTTCTTAGTTCGATGCTCAATATCATTGTTAATGTCATCAATGTTTCCTACGTAATTCTTGTCCTCCATGTCAATGTTTTCTGTAAGGCCAAGAAATTGTCAATTTGATAAATGGAGAGACAAGTTTCAAGCATGTTCAATCAATAGAAGACTTACCTTTTAATCCGGGAGCCAATGGAATATGTCCTTCATCTGTTGTTTTCTTCTCTACAAGCACAACCTTATTATCGCCAAGAGCTTAATGTAAATGAAGAATAATTATTCGTTAGTACTCAGTACAAGTTTCAACATTGTATCAGTATCAAATATGAAGAATTTTGACGTTTTCACTTACGTTTAAGGTACTTCAAGGCTAGAATGAAGAGTAGATTGAAAAGAAGACAAAACCCAAAAAGTGCCACAATAGAAATCCAATACCATCTCTCTGTTGTAAACATGCCTCTCTGCTTAAGGAAGGCAATACCAATACTTGGTTCTGTAGAGTTACCTATAGGCTGATAAACAAGTAGAATATGGTTAGTAACATAGAAGCAGCCGTTAGTAAGTGATTGTATGAAAGTTGAGTAGATTTCAAAATATGAATACGAGTTTAGCCATTGATGTAACTCAACTGAATCACTTACCATATTCCATCTCTCATGGAGAAACTCATTGATAGCAATCGCATTTTGACCGTACATCACAGGGGAAATATAGTAACCCCATCTTATCCATGAAGCAATGTCATCTGTACAAGTATAAACAACATAAGATCAATCATTCAATAATATAATTATGGAAATGCTTAGATTAGAAATAGAGGTTTGAGTTTTTGTTAGTTATGGTCATACATCGTGCAACAATGTAGCCTCCGAGCACAAAGAAGACTAACAAGGCAAATGTAGCAATTGTAGTCGCAATAACCTCTATCCTTCCCAATACTCCTGCAAAATGGTATAGAGATAGAGACATTTGGTGGATTCCGAATAAGGCCAAAAACTGCTTCAAGAACCTGATTAAGCAAAATAAAGTATATCAATACCTAGTAGTCCATTAAAACTGTTGCAGTGGAATACTTAAAATTGTTTCAAATGCTACATTACTCGTGATACCTGCAAGCGCCTGGTGCAAATCCAATGGGATAATATGTGATGATTGACAAAATTCCAGACTCCATCAATGAGACAGGAATGCTGAGCAACCAAATGGGCAGTGCAAATGCCCATGCAGGGTAGAACAAGAGATCCCTTTGCTTGAAGAACACAGGGAGTTTCATGGTAGTCATTGCAATTTCTGGTAACCCATTGAACAAAACGTTATTCAGACTGAAAAACAAAGCTCCCCCATATTTGGCCGCACCTTCCATCTGACCAGATTCCATTTTTGTCCTCACAAACACAGAAGATGCTAGCATAGCCATGATAGCTATTTGTACCGTCTTGAACACAAAAACTACAGAGTTGCGCTTCATCCACAACCATTCCCTAGCAAAACATGCTCTGAAGAGTTCCCATTTGGAGATAGCGTACTTCATTCTCTCCAAAGCAGCAGGGTGAGTGCCACCCTTATCAAAGGGATGCCTAAGCTCTTCAAAAAGATCCTTACCGATGTAAAACGATTTGAAGGCACTTACAAACTCCGTGACTGGTACATATCTGTATGGTTTATTTCCATCAAACCAGTAATATAACTGATCCTTGGCAGAAGTAACTTCCTGTAAGAAATCAGCAGTCCCTTTCCTCTCTGGACATTTGAACCCCATAGACTCGAAAAACTCGAGAACATTTTCTGTCGGACCTTGGTAGACAATCTTGCCCTCAGAGAGCAAGATAATGTCATCAAATAGATCAAATGTCTCGGGTGCGGGTTGCAAAAGAGAGATTACAAGGGTCTCGTCCATGATATGTGCTATCTGCTTAAGATAATTGACGATTTGGTAAGTCGTAGAGCTGTCTAGCCCAGTTGATATCTCATCCATGAAAAATACTTTCGCAGGTCCGGTTAACATCTCCCCTGTAGTCACTCGCTTCTTTTGTCCACCGGAGATGCCTCTCCTCATTTCATCTCCAACTACAGTGTCAACACAAATATCCAATCCCAAAATCTACAAAAGATGTTCAAACTTGGGTTATAAAGAGACTCATTCTTGATAGAATATCTATAAAAACCCATCAACCAACCTTGATAACGTAGTCGATGAACAAGCTAGCTCGTTTGGTAGCCACCGTGGTCGCTTTCATAAATGCATCCACATCAAAATTAGGGACAATGCCAGCAGTTTTCTCCCGTCTCAACAACTCTTCCAGCATCATTTGCCTGCTTCCAACCCCTAAGCATCGCCGAGAGAACTCCAATGTTTCTCGCACTGTCATCTCGCCGTAGTGAAGGTCGTGCTGGCTAATGTAAGCGGAGGTTCGTTTAGGGATGAATTCAGAGAAATCATGCCCACAATATGTGATTTCTCCTGAAACCTAGAATTCAAAGTTAAAAAAAAAAAAAAGAGAACTGAAATTAAACAGCCTAACCGTGGAAAAGAGAGGAAAAATAAATTGAAAAACTTTGCGGCCGAACCTTTAGGTTTTTGTCGAGTTTTCCGGCGAGTGCTTTCAAGAGCGTGGTTTTGCCGGATCCGGGAGGTCCAAGAAGCAATGTCAATCTGGAAAATCGGAATTGGGAGAAGAAGTTAGGGTTGGAAAACATGAGTCGCCATTGGCGAATTCGGAGGAGCTACTAGTGCAAGCAAGCAATTGGAGTGAACAATAGTAAATCAATCATCATTGGAAACAAAAGGCTTTTGTGATCAGACCTTGATGGCTTCACTATCCCGCTGACATCTTGGAGTATCTTAACGGTTGTTTTCTTCGATGATGAAAGCCCGATGATTTTAAGAACTCCCTGTAATTTGCCATTGAAATTTATACAAATGAACTTGAGTAGCTTTGGATATATAGTTTCTGGGAGGGAAATAATGTGTAATGTGTCTGTTTGTTTTTGGTTGTTGAGGTTTAGCGGCAGCTTGGGGAGTGCAAACTGCAAAGAGAAGGGAGGAGAGTGGGAGGGGTTACGGTGCTAATTGTACAATAGTTAGTACCGTCCTAACCAATGAAAAAACTACTACTAGTTTGAATTAGTAGTAATTTAGCTTAGATGTTGTATTGATTTTATAATAATCTGTAGTGATTTTTGCTACTTATCACGGTGCTAACCCTTATAGGGGTTAGCACCTAATCCCATCCCAGGGCAGTGACTAGCGATGGCAATGAGACGAGTGACACTAGGGATAGGGATGGCAATAAAATCTGAACTTACGGATACATTAGTCGATCTAATCTAGTCAACGGCTCAACGCCGTTTAAATTCATATTGATGGGTTTTAGGCTGAGTTTTGATTTAAACTCGTTTATTATTTACAAGGTTAGGTTGGATTTGGGTTTAGATAAACCCGTTCCATGGGTAGCCTCCCACTCATATAATTAATTTTCCCGGTATATTTAATATTCTAAACAACTAATCTTCTTTACGTTTGTGAAGACATGTCTAATTTTTTCTTTCTAATTGTCTAGAATGAAGTTGATATTATCGAATGGAGAGTGAAGAAGGTTAATTGACAAAGAGGAAGAAGCTTTCAATTAATCAAGTTGTTTATGAATAATTTGTGATTTGCTTCAATTTTCTTGAGTTTTCTAGATTGGTGTTGAACAATTTGTATGGTTAATTTGTGATTTACTTGAATTTTCTAGAATGGTGTTTTATATATGAATAATTTGTATTAAGAGATTGATATTTGACTTTTATTTTGATAGGAACTTGTTATTGTAAATTTTTTACGACAAAAACCCATGGGTACCCATCAAGGTTGTCAACCCGCGGGTCGACCCGGACCCGGTCGAGCTAGTGGGTAATGGGTTAATGGGTCACCCATTTTAGCCTGGTTTAGCCTAGTTTAGCCCGGATATTAAAGAATACATACAAGTATTGTAGTGGTTTAATAATTTAGTGATTGAAATGTAATTTACTTATAAATACCATATGATAATTTAGGTACCATATGATAATTTACCATATGATTGAAAGAGAAAAAACCCCTAAAACTACCCACACGCCACATCAAATGCCAAAACCCTAAATTGTAAAGCCCCATCCTTCCTTCTCCCCGTGCAGACGCATCTCAACATAATTCCTCTTTTCTTCCTCCATTGAGAATTCCTCTCCTGGTCGGCAGTGGCTACTCCGGGTCCCGACTCTTCCACTCACCCCCCATCCCCCAAACAAAGCAAAAAACGAGTTCCAAAGCCGACGATCTCTCCGCCATCCATTCTGCTTCGTCCAGATTCCAAACCCCTCAACGCTCGTCGCCTCCCAGCGACCGAATGTCGACCACCACTCCCGGAGTCCTCCTCCACCCGGTTCTCCAGCTCAGTCAAACCATCAAACGCAAATTTGGGAAAATCTCCTTCAACTATGCCTCAAGAACAATGAGCACCGGAATTGGAAAAAGCAAACACGACGACGTAAAGGACAACCCGGTACCCATTTTGGCCGGGCCAACCGCCCGGGTCCTCCGAGTTATGACTGGGTCGAAGCGGGTTTGACCAATCTGGGCTAACCCTTGAACGGGTGTTCACATCCCGTTTTTTCCTCCGGGTTCGGGTCAAGCCACAGGTCGACCCGTGGGTTGACAACCTTGGTACCATGAACTCGTGGATACCCAGCGGGTTGGGTTGACCTTGAGTTTTTCAAACCCAGTGGGTTTTACCCCGAGTTTTTTCACGGATAAATGCATGAATTTGGGTTTGTGTTAGGCAAAACCCGACCCAACCCAACCCAACCCATTGTCATCCTTAGGTGAGACAAATCAAAAGTAATAGTTTTTTAACCGTTAATAATTAGTGTTGAACTTTTATGAGCCAAATAAATAGAAGAAAACAAAAAAAAAATTATCAAATTAATGCACTAACAAGACCCAACACTTTGGGCTTTACGGCCACATTTTGTTTTCAGAGTAGAGCTCCAAAACTACAGAACCGACCGTGTTGAGCAACTCATCTAAACATAAGTTCCAATTATCAATCTTGTAATTTTCCCACCAACTCAAGTTACTCAACCTCCATACCCAATGCAACGAACTCTCCATAAAAAAAATCCATAAACAAACCGAACACTAGTAAAACGGTGCGTATTAGTTGAACTGAAGTTACCTCAACTGCGTTGAGGGTCGAGTTGAGAAGGGTTGGGAGAGCCCTGTTCCCAACATACGCCTCGCCTTCAATTGACAAACTCTCGAACCGGACTTCAATTTGCGGAATTGCAATTCCCACCCTGAAATACATGCACCAAATTCGTCGTAATTATCACCCCCGAAAAAAAAAATCTCGTATCGAATAAACTACTCAAACGAGACTAACTTTTGTATAAACCAACGTGTTGAATCACGCCACACATGATCTAAAATTCGCAAGTAATGAATCTCCATATCATAAATCAACTGGTCTCAATAACTCGAGTTATTGGGAAAGATCCATGTATGATACTCCATATCATAAAGTCAACCCATGAGCTTTAAATTTGCACAGACACATCGCATACCATGTGTTTTAAAGACAAATATTAATAATAGAGATCGTAATGACTTGACTAACACGCGTGACCTCAACGGCAAACCCGACTTCGATACCATATCATAAACCCAAGATAGTAATGAAAGACGGACGACGGTGGTATAAACGAACCGATCTCAATAACTCGAGTTATTGAGAGAGGTTGGTTCAATGTATAATACTTAAATCATTTCCTTACAAGCCCCTCGAACGAAAACAAACTCATGAGCCTGAAATATGCACGTACGTACGGACACCACCATACCATATTATACTTTACAAAACAAAACCGAATATCGAAGATTACGAACACGTGAACATAAACCAACTCTGATACCATACCATAAACCGCGTAAAACCTTTCACTCATTACTTACCTATCGATCCTCTTCCGAATGGTACGCAAGAGATCCTCGTTGTCGGTCTCCGGAACCTTGAGCAAGCTCTCCAACAACATCACCTTGTCCTTCACCTCCATCTTCCTCACGTCCACCTCCACCGGCACCACCACCCCTCCGCCCTCCCCGTACCTCTTCAGCACGATCCCTTTCCTCACCCTCCTCCGCGTCGGCAGCCGCTCGATCGCCGCCCACCGCAGCTCCTCCTCCGCCGCCGCCACCGCCTCCGAAGACCCAAGGCTGCTCCGACGCATACTCTCAAACACCGCGTCGCTACTCTCCTCCTCCCTCCCACTACTACTCCCCGACGACGGCATTGCCCCCCCATCCTCCTCCTCGGCCAACACCCTCCCCGCCATTTGCAAAAGGCGTCTATACGATAAAATTGGAACGATGAATGGCTAGCTTCACCAGTAAAACGAGAGGCCAATGGTGTGAGAAGGGGGGAGATCGAGGCCAAGTCTTATAGGTAAAACACAGAAGAGAAGAGAAGAGAAAAGGAGCGTTTTGTTCGGCTCGAAGTCTTTGCTTTCGATGAGCTGTTAAGTAACGTTCTCTTGCTCGATCGTGCCATATGGGCGATTAATAATAATATTTTTTTTCTTTGGTGGTGGAGAGGCGTACGCCAATGGCGGAGGTGAGGTGTTGCCAAAGATGGCCGACTTTGGCATAGTTTTTTTTTTTGGGTTTGGTTTTGGCGGTTGGATGTATGCTTTGGCGGCCGTCGAAGGAATCTTAACGTATGGTAGGATCTTCTTTGGTTGGATCTTTTTGAAGAGAGTTGCATTAGGAATGGTTCGTTGTTCATGATGGTGCATTTGTTGTTGTTGCTACGTGGATCGATCCATATAAAATAGCCGTCAATGTGGGCGTATAGCCGGGCAGCTAGAGAACACGAATGAGGATTTTGTGCCGTGAGGTAGAGTAGTATTCTATATTAAGTTGGCATTAGGAATGACAATTTCAACATTGGCCTATTTTGATTTGATTTGTTTCACTTGTTTTTGGTGGTAAAGTAGGGCGTGAGATGGGGATGGATACTATTATGCTTAATCAGTCTCATTCTCGATCCTTTTTTTTTCTTCTAAATAATATGTCACGCACGGATTGGGGCAATCGATAATGCAAGAATGAAAATGATAGCGCGAGGAAAGTAGAAAACGCGCATATTTACGTGTGGTTCGCTAATACAACGTGGGTTCGCTAGTCCATACGGGCGGGAGAGAGATCAAGCTTCGTTATACTTGAGGAGAGATACAGATTGCAACGAGATCCCCCGTGACTTCCGGTACTCGAATGCTGATAATCCGATTAAGCCATATCGACAATATAGTTCTCTTTTTTTTTTACCATTGTAAGCGAATTCATCGGTCCCAGTATTCCAGCAAAAGGATAGACACGGCTGAAGCACCCGCGCCTGCGCTCTCGCGATCCGAATGTCATAGGAAGGTTACTCAAATTAGTAAGAAAATTACGTTCATTACCTCATATTTTAGTGATACTAAAGTTGTAAACAGGCGAGAACTTCAATTTCTCTAGTTATTTAACTACATTTTATCGTGTTATAGTTTGTTTTTTTATTTTTTAATGAAAGTTCAATATTTTATTATATTTTTCTACATTACCCACCATGATAAATTATTTGATCTACGATCAAACAAATATCGACTTACCCCAACCTATCCCATTGACATTTGTACATGAGGTAGTATCGATGATATGGATTGGATGCCTAGTAGTGGCGGAATGCATTTTTACTAAGATTGTCTTGTTTACAATGCAAGTTTGTATGGACTCTGTCATGTGAGGGTAACAATGTATACCAAAAGGAAAGTTTGTTATATTTTTTATGGGTTAATTGCTTGGTTGGTCACTGAGATTACAAAAAAGTTTATGTTTGGTCACTGAAAATATTAAATCCAATATTGGTCACTCAAATTAGTTAAATGGTTCAAGTTTGGTCACTCTCCGTCCAACTCCATTAAATTTGTCTGATGTGGCAGTCAACCCTTAAAGTTGACCGTTAACTCAGTGACATGAAAATTAAAAAAAATAATAAATAAAATAAAATTTAATCTTCTACCATTTCCAACTATTTTCACAATAAAGTAAAATAAAATAAATTTAATCCTCTACACATGCTTCTCTTTTGCAAACCAGTACTAAAGCTCTGTCATTTCGCTCTGGACTTCAAATTCATGCCCATGTAGTGAAATCCGGCCTCGAGACCGATAGATTTGTGGGGAACATCTTGCTCGCGCTTTACTTCAAGTTGGGGTCTGATTTCGTCGAGACTAGGAGACTTTTCGACGGGCTCCATTTCAAAGACGTCATTTCCAGCGCGTTGATTGATATGTATGGAAGGAATTCGGGTCTCGATGATGCACGCCAACTGTTCGACGAGTTGCTCCAACCAGACGCTATTTGTTGGACGAGTTGCTCCAAGGTAAAGAAGTTCATTGCCAGTATGTGAGGAGAGGTGGGTGGCGAGATGTCATTGTGGAGTCGGATTTAGTCGACCTCTATGCAAAATGTGGCTCTGTCGATTTCGCTTACAGGGTGTTTGAACAAATGCTAATGAGAATAAATGTTTTATTTATTTTACTTTATTGTGAAAATGAGTTGGAAATGGTAGAATATTAAACCTTATTTTCTTTATTATTTTTTAATTGTCACGTCACTGAGTTAACGGTCAACTTTGAGGGTTGACTGCCACATCAGACAAATTTAACGCAGTTGGACGGAGAGTGACCAAACTTAAACCATTTAACTAATTTGAGTGACCAAGATTGAATTTAAATATTTTCAGTGACCAAACATGAACATTTTTTGTAATCTCAGTAACCAACCTTGCAAATTGCAATTAACCCTATTTTTTATGCATATAAGCGGAATTTTGGGTCGATAAGAAATGGATGAACTCCAAAGTCCAAAGGACTCTGTTAAAATAATGGGTGACTTTTCGACACTTGAATAAATGATTTTAGAGTAATGTTTACTTGCACAACTAATGGCAATAAAATTATTGCAAACCAAAGCACAATGCACATACAACTCTATTATATTAGGACAAAAAGTCAAAACCTTGTTTTCGTTTCTTTCTCTGCCTTCTCTTGTTTTTGTTTCTCTTCTTTCTTCTTTCTTTCTTTCTGCTCATGCCATTGCCAGCTGTGGTAGAGATTTTGTACGTTTCTTTGCCACCTTTTAATTTTCTTTTTTTATTAATATACATTGTTCCGTCTCGTGTATGCTAGACTTAAGCAAATTCTATCGTACGAGTTTTGATATTTAGATCATGAATTAATCGGATTTCGCACATAATATTATATTATTTTTTCTAATGAGTGAACTCCAATCCCAAATTCTCTACCCAAATTATAAGAATTATTTAATCTATAAATATAACCAATCGAAATATAATGAAGTACATTTAATAGATGTCCACGCAACAATGTTAATTATTGCTATAAAACCTTATCAGACAGCTAGCTTTCTTGAAAGCAAAACAATGCCCACGCAACAATGTGAAGTAGTTGGGCTCAAGTTCGTTTGTTTGTACTGTTTCCAGGTTCCAAAATCATATAGTTTCCAGGGTTTGAAACTCCCCAGAAAACTCCAAAACAAACAGTCCTCTCTTTTTCAATGCGAGGAGAAGTAAAACCTCATCAAGATCAAGTTAATCAGCATCAAGAAACTACCATCAGTCAAGAACCTGCATCATCAGCAGGATCCATTACCATAATTTTTGTGGCTCCAATCGGGTTTAATTGAGAAAGCAAAGAAACAGGGGTTTGTTTACCCAAATTTCATCTTTCTCTCCTGTGTGACATACAACTTGACATTAATTTTGTATAGCCTTTCCCTGGTAGTCGTCATAGACTGCGATGTCGTAGTGGTGGATCTGGTACCGAACTTAGATGTCCAAGAAATTCCTTCAACCCATCGATTCGTATTTCCCAAAATTTCTCCCTCTTCGAATTTCTACTTATTCCAAATCTGACAGTTTCTTTCATCTCAAATGAACTAGAAATAGTTATCAGAAAATTATCCAACTGTCCATCCGACACCATCTCTTCGAGAGTACAGTACCATTCGTTACAAGTAAGTTCTTCACCCTTGAACAAATCTAAGATAGGACTAGGCATCCGCACCCTTCTCGTCATCAAATCACACTTCCCAAAGATGTGGTCTTGATATTCCTTAAATTGCATAAATGACATTCATCACATTTACGTGGTATTCGATCCACAATGTTACCTCTTTGTCACAAGTACATTGTTAAACTTTTCTCCTTAAATTTTTAGTGGAGTTATTAATAGTGCATCCCAGAAATTATTAAAAGCTCAAAATCACGTTAATTAAGAAAAGATAATTGCAAAAGTTGATCATTGAATTAACATGAAAAGTCTAAAATACCAATAAAACACTGAAGATCTCGTTTCCAATGACAAAACAGAAAATGACACTTACCCAATCTAACTCTATTTTTTTTAATATACAAACCTTGTGTTGTTTGGACTGTTTGACTGTTTCCCCACAACATAGCTTTTACTGTCCAAGTAAAAGAAATAAATTTACATTTTAGTTTCTAGAAGTTTAAGGAACACTGAGTACTGAGTAGATACCACCTATAAAAGTTGAGGACAAGTTTGTTTGCTTGGACTGTTTCCCCACACACTGTTTGCGGTTTTCAAAATTCTAAGATAAGTAGATAACTTCTAAACGAACAGCCCTTATTTTAACTTTGAGGAAAAGTGAAACCCTGAAGTTTATCATATACAATCCGGACAAACTCAATTCAAGATCACTAAGCAACTGTTCAATACTTTCTATATCTCAACCAGTCAGTGAACAACTCCATATCATTTGATCCATTAACAAAACTCGATAACTTCAGGATACTGAAGCTATATCACTACACATGCTGAGTAGTTACTGTGTTGATCATTTTCCGCTAAGCAGAGAGATTACTTAAAGAAGAGGATATTAGGACCTGGTCTCCCAATGCAGCTTCAAGAAGGAGACAGAAGGGTATCTTCCTTAGAAACAGCAGCAATCAATCCCCACTTGCGCAACCCTTGCAGCCACAGTGTACACATTCAACAGCCTGCTCGTCCTTCAGATTCTGAGGAACTCTGCACACACAAGTCGTGCCAAAGTTGTGATCCCTCGTCTGCATGCATCGGAGGCAGCACAGTCGTTCATATCCTGGCTGCAATTCCAAACAACAGAGTTCTGTTATCAATTATGAACCATTGCCCAGTAGGAAAGAAAGAAGAAAAAATAAACTTCTGTCAAGTGCAAGTCCAAGTATAAACACGAGCCTTCTTAAACACGAAAATATTGTCACAGGTGCTGAAGCAGCACCCTTGTTCAAAATGTGGAGAACAGCTTAATCATTCAAGAAACCAAGCTCATAATGACATGAGCTTTACTAGAATCCCCAGAGTGGAAAAGCCTTGATGCACAAAATAAGGTGATTCATGGAAAGCACATACCTTTTTCCATTTGGCGATAAGGTTCTTGTCCCCATAGCCTTGGTCCAAGCAGAACTCAAAGAGCTCCTTGGATATCTCATTCTTCTTGTAGTGGAGGTCGAAAATGTATCGGCTTCTCTGATGGGAAACCTTGAAAATAGGCCACAGAGTTTCGCACTTCCTCTTCCCATCGTGAGGATCAGTTTCCGCTGCCAAAATGTCAAGAGGAGGATGACTCATTAGCCGCTATGTTAAAACAACACCTAAAAGAGATCGAAAAACAAGCATAACTGAAAGGGAGTGGGATTGAAGGGAAAGAGTAAAACGATCAACAAACCTTCCTTCATCTTGGCATCTAGCTCACGAAGGGTGGGCTCAATCAACTCCCATCCATCAGGATATTGCGTACGGTTTGTCCTGACCTTTGGCATCGCTCTACCTCACTGCAGTTGGGGCAATGCAAAAAGCAAGTACATTCAGTGCCCTCAAACCAAGTTCATCCCACCAACTAGTACAAATTAATTAAGGAAAACAGTAACTGAAATGCCAGTCCAGAATTCCTCAATAGATACGATGGCTCGATCTCGTAACAGCAACTTTGCATAGTTCATTGTGCAGAGCTCCACCAACAGAGTACAACTAAAGAGTATGCAACCCTAGAAGCAGATAGAGCGAACAAATCCTTAGATGGTCGAACAACCGCCACTTATTCGAATTTTCCCAAGAGTGCAATAATGCATTTCTCAAGCTCCAAAAAGGTCCCCATGCCTATTGGTCAACATTTAACCTAGCGACATCCAGGATTGAGATGCTACCCGATTATGCAATATGAACCGAGTAAGGAAACCTCCTATACAAGAGAAGCCGTAATACTCTAATATCAAGCGGAATCAACAATCAACATTGTCTTCTACTTGTTCTCTTTGTACAGCCATATCAAAGATCCGAACAGTGTAAAGGTCTTGTGCAGACTAGGAGCGAGAATAAGTGGAATGACGGGAGATGGAGGTTGAGAATGACATACCAGTGAACACGGGGTGGTGAATGGAATGAGCGGTGGTGAGCGCGGCGGAGACGAAGCCCTAACAGATGACGATGATGATGAAGCTTCTTCGCTGAAACTTATGCGGGTGCAGCAGGAGAGGAGCGCTTTCCTTCCACCCAGCAAAACTTTGCTTCGTTTCAGCGGAGTGACAGTCGATTCTTTTGCTAACAAGTCCTTTTGCTCAGGAAGGCGGAAATCAGGGTGAATTACCATGAAACCACTTAATTTAGAGGTTGATAAACATGAGTCATCGTACCCAAATTTCAATCAACAAGTTACTTAAATGATTGGTTAATCACTTCTTTAATCAATATGTTACTTGAATTATTGATTAATCATTTCTTTAACATCTAGTTATTTATGATATCATATCCAAGTAGTAACCGAAGAGGGCAAGCAAAAAGATAACACCTTTATATGATCCAAAAGAAAATAATGGCATCAAGAGAAGAAATTTTTGGGCAAACAATGCCATCAAGAGAAAAGAGCTTTCAACTTCTGGAAGGGTGGTAGTAGCTACATGACTGTAATTATTAAGCGAGGCGGTACTAAACAAGAAATTCAAAAGCCAGCAGTCTGTGTTGACATGCCAAAAGTAAAATAGTTGTCCTCAAGAATGAGAGAAGAACACACTGCCTCTTCATTCTTTCTTTCCGATCCCATGAGACATGTTGTAGATTCCGCGTCCCTGAAAAAACAGAGCAGCACAAACGAGTTGGTTGCTATGTTTTGTAGGCATACGGCTAACTAACGAAGTTCAGGTTAACTGCAGAAAGTAAAATGGACTCACAATAAGAAACAGAGAGCTGGCGGCCAATGCTATGGGGATAGCAACAGAGGTGACCTTGTCAAAAGGGCCTTTCAAGTAGGTATGCTTGTGGATGTTCTGGAAATACCTCTGCTTCTCAAGAAGCTTCTCCCTTGGTCTGAAAGGTGATTCTGCTTCAACCATTCTGCATTTCAAGTTAGAAGGTAAGTAAACTCAATAAGCACATGGAAGTTACATTGCATTCCATGATGGAAAAAAGAACAAACATAGCTAACAAAAAGCTGAACTGACACAAGTAGATCAATAGCGCAGAACGTGGTTCGAGCTTCAACGATAGAGTAAACAGGGATGATAGCGACAAAAAGGCAACAATTTGATAGTTAGATAACTACAGAAACCTATACCAGGGCAGTCGCCAAACACGAAACTGACACACCGTGCGGCCATTGCATACACACGCAAACTGGCTGCCCTAATCTCTGCAATTTCTGTCATCTATGCAGCACTGAGCATTAAAAAATATGATAATCCCTGATCCTAAAGAAACACATTTTGCTCAATGGCATCATCTGTGGCACATCTCTTCCCAATTCGCATCAAAGCAAGTGGAATAACCATCCATTTCAAACACCCGTCTGACCCAAAAGGGACTTGAATGACTCCAAATGCAAAATTCGGGAGACCAACACGGGATACAATTGACTTCTCGGCACCCAAATAAAAAAAAGAACAAGACTTTTGCCGCAAAGCTCCCATACCCTTTTCGATTTTAGTAATTCAGCCACCTAAAACACTAGGTAGGGGATAAATACGTTCAAACAAGGATCCGATCTAGGTGCGAACAATCCAACAAGTACCAGTCGATTCAATCAACAAACGAAAACTGAATCACAGACATACTCCGTTCCAGGAAATCGCAAACCACAAAACAAACGCTGAAAACAACATCGAAAGTAACCCTAAATCTAAACAAGAACTAGATAAAAGAAAAAGGATTTGATTGAGCAGTTGAGAACGGCGTGGGCAGATGTCAATGGACTTACTTGGCGCTAGGACTGCGGAGGAAACCGGAGGTCGCAGTGGATCGGAGAGGAAGCTGATTGAGAAGCGCGACGGAATTCACAGGCGAACAAATGAAGATGCCGAGAAGAGTCGGAGATGCGATAGAACCCCTACACAACTATGTGGGAAAGGCCGGGGGAAGAAGAAGTCAGCAATTGGCTAAAGCAATTGGGCTGGGACCATGAAACTCAGGCAGACGGCCCATGTTTTCGGCCCACTACTCTGTTACGCCATGGGCTTTCGCTGATGCTTTCGTCCGGCTAATAGTAAGCTGCGTTTAGTTTCCTAGAGCTTCCATCTTCTGCGTTGGTTGGCTCTTGGCTGGCTCTCTGCTCTCGGCGTGAACGGGAACTCTTTCGCCTTGACTGTCGAGCTCTGGCGGCAATGGCGGAAGAGTCTTGGTAGCCAATTTTTTTTACTGCTTCCATTCTTTTCATCTCTCGTTTTACTGATTCACTGCAACCATGCGCTCCAAGGACAAAATCGCATATTTTTATGATGGTATGGTGCTTTCTTCCTTGCTCTTTCCTTCCCGTTTCTTTCTGCTGCCGATAGGTAATGATTCAAAGCTATATAGGCGAAATACTGGAGGGTAGGAACTGTTTCCAATTAGCTATGTCGTAAGCCGAATCGTTTGGAGAAAACAGTTTGTTCATGGTAGTTCTGGGAACCCTCTAAAACCCTCCTTGTTAGGATGCCTCTAGCTAGGTTCGGAAGAACTGGTTTTGATTGTTGGACTCATTAGGGATTTGGAGGTTTTGAAGTTTTGCACCAGCAAGATTGTAACTTTTGGATTTTTGTGAGATTGGCTCTAAATGGTTTGATCAAGTAGTGTGCAAATTTTTATGGTGGTGAGGTATTTGTGATGTTTTCTTTGTCTAAACAATTCTGATCTTTTGTTATCGACGTTGCAGGGGACGTGGGTAGTGTTTACTTTGGACCAAACCATCCCATGAAACCGCACAGGCTGTGTATGACCCACCATCTTGTTCTTTCTTATGACCTTCACAAGAAGATGGAGATTTATGTTAGTCTTTAGTGTTTGCTGTATATGATTTCCTTTTCCTTTTTACTTCTAACGACAGTGATGAAATTTTTGGATTACTCTTATCATGTGTTGTCTGGTGCAGAGGCCTCACAAGGCATACCCCAGTGAGCTGGCTCAGTTCCATTCCGAGGATTATGTTGAATTTCTACATCGGATTAGACCTGATACGCAAAACTCGTTCAGAACTGAATTAGCTAGATGTATGTCTTACCCCCGAAATGAGTTAGACTCAATTACGTGCTTTCGTGCCTACTTTTTTATTGTGCTGCATTCTGAAAGTGTGGGACGTTATTGATTCTGGTTGATTTTGCCAATGGAAAATGCCTTGATGTATTTTAAGTGTTTCAAAGCTGTGAAGTAAATATGTAAGTGAATCAATTGTGGCAGACTTGTAACTTTCATTTGGATACAGCCTGCATTTCAATTATTTGAAATACTGCATTTCATAATTGTTAGTCTGGTACCTGCTTCTATTCTTGTTCATATGTCCACTTGTACTTCGCCCAGCTGAAGCAACTTATGATTGAGAGCATTCTTTGATAAAAATACTCTCTGTTTAATGATATTTGCTTCATGGCTTCTTTTTTTCCAGTTAATCTTGGAGAAGATTGCCCTGTTTTCGAAAATCTGTTTGAATTTTGTCAAATTTATACTGGAGGAACTATAGGTAAGTCGAAAGCAAGCTGACTTTTTAACTTGAACTTTTGTCATATTCATTATTGATAACTGGAGCTCTCAACACTGTTAACAGATGCGGCTCGCAGATTGAATAACCAACTATGCGATGTTGCTATCAATTGGGCTGGTGGATTACATCATGCCAAAAAATGTGAGGCGTCTGGATTTTGTTACATCAACGACTTGGTCCTAGGGATCTTAGAGCTTCTTAAACATCATGCTCGGGTTCTGTACATAGACATAGATGTTCATCATGGAGATGGTGTAGAGGAGGCCTTTTATTTCACGGACAGGTAAGTCGCCTTCTTTTGTTACAAATTAGGAGAAGAATGGATAATGGGAAATTAAAGTTTCCTTTGTTTTCTACGATATATTTTTCATCAAAAAAATGTAAGCTGCGTCGCTTGCTCAGTCTCGGCGGATTTAATAGTTTTCCCTCCTTTTCTTGGTTTTCGGGATATACTGTTTGTTAAAATTATATATCTCTATCCTGGTTAATCTATTAGCATTCACTTGCTTGTTTGAAGTCGTGCCTGATTAATAAAGATATGTATGTATGGCTGGCATCTAACTAAAGCTTGGTAGAGTAAGGCTTCGGACAGGTTAATGTTTCAAGAAATGTACTGTTTGATCGACATTTATCTTCCTAGATTCTCTATTCCTTGCTTTATTCATGTAGCAAATTCATTTAACCATTCAGCGATCTCAGTAACCAGATAAGCATGTCATGGCACATGATAGAGATATACTTATTTTGGGGCTTTGCTTTCAGCTTAAATACTGAACTTCAACAAAAAGCCTGTTATTAGCATCAACTCTGATTTAGTGGGACACATTCAACTGGCAGGGTGATGACAGTCAGTTTTCACAAGTTTGGGGATTTGTTCTTCCCTGGAACTGGTGACGTTAAGGTGATTACTCTGTCCTTTATAACTATTTACTATCACTTTTGGCCAAATTTGTTCAAGTGTTTCCTCGTGAAGACGCTTTTTTATGGAAGTTCTAAACTTTTGACTTGCAAGTTCAAAATATGAAGTGTTTATGGTTACTCTTTAAGAAGTCGAAAAGGCTCTTTATCTACTTGTTTTAATTGTAATCGGCAATGTATGTTAGGATTTGTGGGTGTCTTGTACTTTCATTGTAAGCTGTTGTGCTAATTGCTATAGAAAGAGTTGCCATATATACTTTGGAATTATATGTATGAAACCCAATATGATTCTTGTATTCACTACTCTTGATCAAATTTAAAGTGCGATGAATATTCACATTGGCCCTATTGAAGGAAATAGGAGAAAGAGAAGGGAAGTTCTATGCCATCAACGTTCCACTCAAAGATGGAATAGATGACACAAGCTTTACCCGCCTCTTTAAAACTGTAAGTTACTGGCTAAGCTACCTATTTCAGGCCTTGTTATTGCTTGCTTATTCGCCTCGATGATTAATGTTTGTGCCTGGTTGCTCTGTTACTAGATAATATCAAAGGTCATAGAAATCTATCAACCAAGTGCTATAGTTCTTCAATGTGGAGCAGATTCGTTAGCTGGGGACCGCTTAGGCTGTTTTAATCTCTCGATTGATGGTAAACGTCTTCCCCTTGTGGATTTATCCATGCCCTTCCATTTATAGCAACCATGGAAGCATGAAAAGCTGTTTATGTGTTTATTATCTAGCTGTCTTACTTGAACAGTTTGTGACTTTTAAGGCTTAGACTGGTGCCGAAAGTTACTGTTGTCTGTTATCATGATATGCATTGCAGGTCATGCTGAATGTGTCAAGTTTGTCAAGAAATTCAACCTTCCTTTACTGGTATGTTCTTATCACAGTAGAATGGACTCCCTGCATTGCAGCTATTTCATATGAAAATAACATACCTTCTGGAACTATGTCATGTTCATGCAGGTTACTGGAGGCGGAGGATATACAAAGGAGAATGTAGCTCGGTGTTGGACAGTTGAAACAGGGGTTCTGTTGGATACTGAACTACCCAATAGTATGCATTTATAATCTTCGGTATTGTCTTGACATGATGGCTTGGATTTGAATATGTGTTCACAATATGTTTTGAAATTCTCCTTGCAGAGATTCCTCAAAATGAGTACTTGGAATATTTTGCCCCTGACTATTCGCTGAAGATTCCAAGTAGACTCATAGTATGGATTTGCTTATCACTTGCTTCAATTAAAAATAGAAGTTTGTTAACTTGCTCTTCTATTAATACTGTCTTCATCTCCTTACTCTGTCTTCTTCTACCATGACTGATGAGAGCAGGAGAATTTTAACAGCAAATCTTATCTTAGCACCATTAAAGTGCAAGTAATGGAGAATTTGCGGCACATACAACACGCTCCAAGTGTGCAGATGCAAGAGGTGGGGACTCTTCTCTCTATATTCAGCAAAAGTAGTGCTCATTATAAATCCTTGCTTGTTTGGTCTTGTATGCAATTCAGATAAAGTCTGTAGGATTTTGGCTAACTGCTTGCACTAAGTGGAAGGAGCCAATTTCCCCCTTTCTAGTAGAGTGCGAAATTTGAGCTTGATAATGAGCTTTGAGTATGTGATAGTAGTACGTTCCCTGTTCATTTTATGTTTCTTCAAATATCCTAACGAGAATGCGTTCTGCAGGTTCCACCCGACTTTTATATCCCCGACTTTGACGAAGATGAGCAGAACCCAGATGAACGAATGCATCGTAAGTAGAATTCTCTGATATAATGTTCTTCCTCTGTACTTCTGTGTTTCCATCACCTTTTCTCACATTAGGTTTCCATTTTCCCTCCACTCTAGAGCATACACAAGACAAGGAAATCCAGAGGGATGATGAGTACTACAACGGAGACAATGACAACGATCACCCAGCTGGATCATGAAGTGCATTCGGACGGGATTCGGTGACTGTAGCTATTAGTTCAGAAGCTTACTACTACTCCCTGCCCTGATTTAGGGGTTGACTGAACTCGTCAAACTTAAACTTTGCATCTCTTGTTTTGTATGTAGCATACCATGCCATGCTTTTGTAACTCCACCTGGGGATGCTCTATTTGTGAAATGCAAGGATTAGTGGATGATAGTTCCGTCTAGTGGTAATCTTTGAACTAAGTTTCAGGTTCGAATTCATTAAGCAAAAAAAGTAAAATTCACATCTCCCTTATTGATGAGAATATGTAATCTCAAAAAAAGGAAATTTTCTCTCCATATTGGCGATTTGGAAAGGCGTCCACCAGGCACCAGCACAGTGTTTTTTCCCTCAAAATTTCCTCCTGCTACCGTGTAAAATTTGTAGAACGGTGGAAAGTTTATTGGGAAGGACAATTTCCCTCCTTTAACCTTCCTTCCCCGTAGTCTCATCCCTTCCAGAAAACAGAGGGTAAATGGAAAAGATGGCAAAGTCGCCGCCTTTGGACTCTTTCCAACCCACAAATTCCTATCATTGAGACCTGCAGCGGACTGTTTGATTGCCGGGAATAGGTGGGTGCGCGCGCAGCGTAACTGCGACGGAAAGCAAACTTAAAAGTTTGAGATTGGACGGCTATTCCCTCTCTGACGTCTTCCCGCGAAACCGAACGGAGTAACGGTATACCCAAAAAAGGTTGGAGCAGGAAACTCCTCTGTCCTCTCAGTTTTCTTCTTTGTCGATACTTCCACCAAACACATGGCTGTTCTCTGTGGATAATATATTTGTATTCACTGCACTCTTTTCTTTTTTCTTTTCTCCTTCTCCTACCAACCCTGATTGGTTCCTCAATTAGTTTCATTTCTCGGTTCCTGTTAATTAAGGGATAGGTTGAATTCCACCCTTCACTCACAGGGAATCTGTTGATCCAATCTGTGTAGAGCTTGTGGGGTTCTGTAGATGTGGTGTCCGATTGCGATTATACCTCCCTGGTTTTCATTGATTTCTTTGAATTGAGGATTATGATCTCTCAGTAGGTTTCATGGAACCGTGAAGTTTTGGACTTTTTTCTGTCAGCTACAAGGACTCGAACAATGGCTACTGCTGAAGCGATTTTCCGAACTGGGTTGCCGCGGCTTCATCATTTCGATCCTTCGTTTAATTGTTCAAGCTCGCTCCTTTCTGTAAATCCCGCCGATGGTCGCTCCAGAAGAAGCAGGAGGAATCATGGTTCCAAAGCTTTAGTAAAATGCCCTGCCAAGGTTCACGCACGACGAGGGAACACTGATGCCCTTTCTTTTGGGAGGATCAATAAGTTCGCTGGAAGACAGGATTCTAGCAGATGCAAATGCCAGCAGCAGTCGGAAACTTTTGGCAGCGATGGTGGTAGTGGAGGGATGTCAATTCCTGTGTTTGACGTTAATGGTGGTCAGGAGTTTGCACTGCAGCAGCAATTAAAACCAGAAAATGGAAACGTTGCGGTAGGGGGAAATGGTGCATTGATGGATGGAAATGGAACAGCTACAACTACTACAGATGGCCAACCGAAGGGTTCTTCTTCGAATCCAATTGAGGATGAAGCTTGGGACTTGCTTCGTGCCTCTGTTGTTTACTACTGTGGTAACCCTATTGGAACCATTGCTGCTAATGACCCAAACAGTAGTACTGTATTGAACTACGATCAAGTCTTTATTCGCGACTTCATTCCTTCTGGAATTGCGTTCCTTTTGAAAGGGGAGTATGATATCGTGAAGAACTTCATTCTTTACACTCTTCAATTACAGGTAATGTAGGATTGATGTTCTCGTGTTCTCTCATGTATCCTCCATACTGCATTTTTTTTAACATGCTAGTTTACTGACTGTTGGTAGAGTTGGGAGAAAACCATGGATTGTTATAGCCCTGGTCAAGGGCTAATGCCAGCTAGTTTCAAGGTTCGAACTGTTCCTCTTGATGGTGATGAGGATGCCAGTGAAGAAGTATTAGATCCTGATTTTGGTGAAGCTGCAATTGGTCGTGTTGCACCAGTTGACTCTGGTAAGAGATGAATGGCTGTTGAAATCTTATGACCACAACAATTTTCTTTTCTCTTATTATATGTGTTGCTTGCTTAGCAAGTTGGATATCTTATCTGGGAATACGTTCTTGTTCAGGATTATGGTGGATTATACTCTTACGAGCTTATGGAAAATGCTCGGGCGATCTCTCGATGCAAGAGAGAGTAGATGTACAAACTGGGATCAAAATGATTTTGAAACTGTGTCTTGCCGATGGCTTTGATATGTTCCCAACTTTGTTGGTCACGGATGGTTCTTGTATGATTGATCGGCGCATGGGAATTCATGGGCATCCTTTAGAGATTCAGGTTAATACTCATTATATTGGGCTTTGATATTGTTTGATATCGTTTCTGCATGAGTGCTCCTTAGTTATCTTTTCATGCTCATATTATATCAAATGCTTCAACTAGGTGTTCATGCTTGAAACAGTCAACCACGTTTCTAGAGGTGTGAGACCAGAGGGTGTGTTTGGTTTGGTGCATTAGTGAATTGGTGTTAATTGTCTCAATTGCATACTATCATGTGAGATGCGTTTGCTAAAACATGGTTTGTTCTAGTACATTTATGCATGAAATTGTCGCAGAAAGTGAAAAAGAAGATATATGAGACACCACTTTCTAGAGTGCGTTCCTTGTTTCTGTATTTCCTACTCCTAAGTATTCAAGATTGCATCATTTTGATGCATTTGAGATTGCGTGTGCAATTTTCCAAATACACTAAAAAATGCTTGTGCTGATAAAAGGCTCTTTTGCAGGCCCTCTTTTATTCAGCTCTACTATGTGCACGTGAGATGCTTGCTCCAGAGGATGGTACATCTGATCTCATTAGGGTCCTCAACAACCGTCTGGTAGCCTTGTCATTCCACATCAGAGAATATTACTGGATTGACATGAGAAAACTGAATGAAATATACCGTTACAAAACCGAGGAGTACTCTTATGATGCGGTCAATAAGTTCAACATCTACCCAGATCAGATTCCTCCCTGGTTGGTTGAGTTCATGCCCAGTAAAGGAGGCTACTTGATTGGAAACCTGCAGCCTGCTCACATGGACTTCCGCTTCTTCTCTCTGGGGAACTTGTGGTCCATAGTGAGTAGTCTTGCAACTGTGGAGCAGTCTCATGCTATATTGGATCTGTTTGAATCGAAATGGGAAGATTTAGTGGCTGAGATGCCTTTCAAAATCTGCTACCCTGCTCTTGAAGCCCAAGAATGGAGGATCATCACGGGCAGTGATCCAAAGAACACGTATTGTGATCTCTTACCTTGATCCTTTTTAGGTCATTAGTAATCTGTGATTGTGTTTGGTGGTGAAGATGGTTCTAATCATGCCCCTCTTTGTTGTTCTTGTATTGGTTGCAGACCCTGGTCTTACCATAATGGTGGTTCTTGGCCAACTTTGCTTTGGCAGGTAACTTTCTTGTTTTTATTCTAACAAAGTTTTTTTTTTTTTTTTTTTTGGGGTCAATCACTACATAAATGATTAAATGGTTACCAAGCATTGGGGTCACTAACAAATTGGTCGCCAAACTTTGATCTTTATCAAATTTGTTGTATGGAGTAACTAAAGTAATAGTCACTTTTTCATCTCCGTTAAGCTTTCTGCTGCCATTAATCGTAATGTGAGATGGATGTAGTGACTATTATGCTAGTTATCATTTCAAACTGCAGTAACAAACTCTTTAAAAAGAACACAAAGTTTCAGTGGCCAATTTTGCTAGTGATCCAGTGACCATTTATGCGTAATAGTCTAATACAGTTCTTATTATATACTTCTGACTTGTCTATTGGGGGCATTCATTCTTCAGCTCACTGTGGCAAGCATCAAGATGAACAGACCGGAGATCGCAGAAAGGGCAGTTGAGCTTGTCGAGAAGCGGATCTCCAGAGACAAATGGCCGGAATACTACGATACCAAGCGAGGGAGATTCATCGGAAAGCAGTCGAGGCTGTTCCAAACTTGGTCGATTGCTGGGTACCTGGTATCGAAGCAGCTTCTTGCCAACCCTGATTCAGCAAAGATTCTGGTGAACGACGAGGATTCCGAGCTCGTGAATGCCTTGTCTTGCATGATCGGTGCCAACCCTAGGAAGCAGCGTGGCAGGAAAGCATTCAAGCAGCCATTCATTGTATGAACGAATGCCTAATAGCTAGGTAGTGGATTTGTAACAGGAGGATCCAGTTTGTCATGTTTATGGGGAGCAAACTGATCATGAATCGGGGGGAGAGTTCGTTATGTCATTAGGTTTGTTTTAAAAGGTTGTATTGTTTCAACCCGGTGTAGGTTACTGACTGTAAATATTCTGCATTCATTTTGGGATAGGATAGTTATGAGTTTGGTTATAACACTACTGTAAATTTGCCAAATTCATGTGTTGAAGAAGTAAATTTACAGCCTGTGAAAACTTTTCCGGAACTACTCTTTTGATTATGATATGCTTAGGAATTTGGATTTTCTTTTTCTTTTTTACTATGCTAAGGTTAGACACATTGGCAGCATTGCACCATTCACTAAAGCTCAGACAAGTTTATTAGTCAATCTAGTGGAATATTATAGTTTGTCTGAAGAGATTAGATAATTTTAAATTGTCTATGATAGATGAGTAATATAATGATGTAGGAATTAGGAAACGAGTAATACCAACTAAAGGAGATCGTGAGATTTGGTAATCATTGACGAGTTATGGAATGAGGTGGTAATCAAGTAATAGAAACGTGGAAACTAGGTCAATGGACGAGAAGAGATAGAACAAGAAACAATCATGAATCGAAGAGCAACAAAAACTATACAACAAGAAATTAAGCAGGAGAAGTTACAGCGAACAACAAAACTTAAATACGAAACTGAGCCGGTAAGGTAGCAAAAAAAATTTGGACCATTTCTCGATTTATGCGTGTCATCCTTGCGCAGGGGCCATGCTAATCTTCTCTGTATCGTTCCAATTTTATCGGATGTCCCCGAAGGGACAGCATAGTCAGTGAAACTTGAATTATATAAACATTGGCTGAATGCCATCGTTAGCCGATGTGGTAGAAGAATAAGAAGTTGGGCCTTGTGTTTCGAAAGCCCACAACTGAAATCGTATAGCAAAAGTGTAGCTAACTAAAGAGTATCCAAAATCGATATAGGAATCGACCCTCGAATAAACGAAAGCCCATACAGATGACAAAAAAGAAATTCGCAAATTCTGGTCTGTAAAATTTTATCGAAGGTATAAAACCAAAAAAAAAAAAAAAAAGTCACTAAATAAACAAATTCAAGCATGGTATAGCTAAGTAGAAAATCCGAAACAAAAAAATATTATAAATTTTGAAATAGCTAAAAATTATAAATGAACAGCCATTCAATTGATATTAAAAAGGAAAAAGAGTGAATTTTAAGTTCAAATTTAAAAATCTTATTATAGAGTACATATGGTTTAATATTTATGAATGCCAAAGGCAGCCCAACGATATATATTAGCAAGAAAGGAACCCCTGGAGACAGAAAGTTCACAAACTATTTTAGATGTTTTTACACATTTTATATATAAAATCGAGAAATGTATTTCTATACATAACCTCCTTCATGGTAGGTCGAGTCCAGGTCAAGTATTTTATTTTGGGGCGTCGGTCTGTACATGCGGGGCCATACAGATACAAGTATGTATTTAAGGGAAAAAATATTTGAAATATTGTTTTTTCAACAAGATCAAGAAACAGAACTATAACATGATGAATGTAGTTAATTTATCAAATAAATTGAGATTCTCGCCTATTTATGACTTTATAATATCTAAACTATGACATAATAAAAGTAAAATTCTAAGCAATTTTAGTAAAATTACATATAATTTAGATAAAACGAGTTGATAACAAGGAGAGGATCCATGCCCATCCGGCCTCATAGCAAGTTAAACTTGTCAAATTTGACGAATCATGTTGAAATCGTCATCCCTAATAGTGAAGTGGTGATTGATTGACATATGACAATAACACGTGATGAGAGCAAGACTCAACAGACCCATTAGTTCCAGACATAATGACTCCTTGAAAGAAATTGCATTTTCTGACGGATGTAATAGGAGAATTATGTTAGAGCAACCAACTATGTTATCATGGAGGATATTGTGTAAATTTTATCATACTTATTGAAGAGAAAAAGAATGTTCATATCCCAAGAGATTAAGAAGTTACAAGGAATATAACTACAACAAGGACAGAGAATCATTGGGGGGCTAAATTATAAGCAAGGAATATAACTGTAACTAGGTTTAGATTATATACTCTTAACTTTGAAACATGAACAATTAAGGGCATTTGGTCTAGTGGTATGATTCTCGCTTAGGGTGCGAGAGGTCCCGAGTTCAATTCTCGGAATGCCCCTTAATTTTTTTTTAAACTCAAAATTAAAAAAAAAAATGATTCAACCATCTCTGTTCGTTCACTATCCACCAAAGCTCCAGGAAATAAAATCATTCACTGTTCGAACATTTGACATTAACAACTGTGCCATGTATACAACACTTTTGCACTTGGCCATTTGATAATAAAATGAGCTCAGGCTATATAGTACATGCAAACAATGTTTCTGTCCAGAGAGAAGGTAAAACTTCCAGCTAGTTCACGAGACTAGCTAAAGAACAGCTTCGGTCTTCCGATGAATGAGGGAGTTCAAGAACTGAAAATGTGGCCGTTCTCGGCCAATATGCTGTCCAGCAACGATTCACAAGCATCTTCGAGCAGATCCAGCACCTTCAACAACCAAAATGAATAATGACATTCAGGCAAAACTAGTACCTGAGAGGCAGGCATGCAATGGATATTTAACTACCAAACCAGAAAGGTTGCCAGCAGATTAAACCCTAGAAACTTGGCTAGAGACTCTACAGAGACTTTGACTATGAGCATGTATATTTTACGATAACCAGAATGCTGCGACTGGGTATCTCTGATCGATGTGATAACAAGACATGTGAAAGATTCCAGGAGCAGCATCTAATCTCAATACATACAATACAAGGGCAGTGAGAGTGAAGTGTGAACCACCATGTTCGGATTCGAAAAGTGAAACAATAATATGTTTCATCGCAAGCTGCCAGCTTTGGCCTTCAACAGCTTCGAAGTCTTATCATCGTCCATTTCATTACTGACCAGACGGTTCATACTATCATATACCAGTTTCTCTCTCTCACACAGCTTACCTTCTCGAAACCTTGTGCTCCACCGTAGTAAGGATCAGGGACTTCAGTCTCCTCATGCCTCTTACAGTAGGAACACATCAACTTAACCTGCAGCAGAAGCACACATGAACTCCTCTCCTTCAATAAACAGCTCTACAACCCAACACCATCCACATCAATTCTTTAACCAACCTTCTTATGTGCATCCTCGGGAAGAGTTTCTCTAAACTTCCACCTTCCAAATGCCTCTAGTATATCCTCTGTGGCAGCAGCAGCAGCAGCAGCCAATATCAACAACTTAGATCAAACCAAGTAAACCCACAATGGGAATATAAGCCAAAGGAACTCCCACTAACCTCTATTCTGCCTGTCCATAGCAAGGATGAGATCAAACTCCACGAAATCAGAAGGTCGGATTGGCCTGGATATGGATGTTATCTCCACCCCGCGCTTCTTCGAAGCTGCTCTCATTCTCGGATCCGCTGGTCCACCCTTTTCCCCCCAAATTTAAAACCATAACAAATATTCAGAAACCCAGATGATACATGATCGTAAAGATCCAACCTTTTTTCTTTTTTCATGTCTACCTCGTGGTAATTTATGGTACCGGCAGAGTCGATGTTGAACTTGGAATCGAGACCCTTCTTGTGAACAATGTCTCTGAATACGCCCTCGGCAGCTGGGCTCCTGCAGATGTTGCCGAGGCAGACGAACACAACGGAGAAAGGCTTTGTGGTTGCGGTGGTGGGGTCCGCCGCCGGCGGAGGAGTGGAAGACGCCGCCATGGGAAGGGGTGCGAATTGGGGATGGGTGCGGCGAGGATTGAGGGAGTGATGATGGAATCGGGGAATTGAGTTGGGGGTAAGTTGGGGATGGAGGAAGAGAAAGCTGGGAGCCAAGTGGCAGAATCGTAAATTTGGAGATGGGGTTGGTATTGGTAATGGTGGCAACCTGGTACTTGTTGTCCACCACGACTCCACTGCCTTGCTCATATTTTTGGGTCTCTCTGTTTTCCTGCCTCCTCTCGGATTATGGAGCTCTCTGTTTTGTGTTCTGTGCCGATGTGGGGAGAAATTTTAGGACCAGTGTTTCCCCGAAAGGATAGGGTTGGAATTTTGTGAGTATTTTGCTATGTTACCATGCCTTAAACTTAAAGTCATCACTCATCAATCCATTTATCTTCACTTTTAACTGTTTATACCAGCGATTTCAGCTCTTCAGCCTGTACTTTAACCTCACATTACACACTGAGAACTCAGGAAGAAGAAAAAGAGGTAAATCCATTACTAATATGAAGCAGAAGTTTACACTGAGGAGCCTACAAGGAAAACCAGAATATAACTCATCTCCAAACAAACATCAGCAATCACAGTCACAGACTCGCACTGCGTTTCCCTTGTGTAAACCTCCTCTCTCGAAACCTAAACTCGTGTGGAACTTGTACACATCCAAGTTCTGGAACTACATTTACACTATATTACATCCATATATTTGGAGGTATAGGTAAAGGAAAGAAAAATGTACATATACCTGTTACGGTCAAGCATCTGAAAAAGGCAAGTCATTCCGCGGATAACAGCTAGAACATATCAAACTCGCCATTCTCTTCTGCACCCTTACACTTACTGCTACTAGTTCGACCATCAGAGTAACCCTGAATCTCTGGAGGTATAGCACAACGAATGAGAGCCCAGTTCAGGCCTTCAAAGAAAGGATGCTGTTTGATCTCCGCAGCACCTCTAGCTGAACCAAGTCGATTCTCGGGGTCTTTCACCAGAAGTCCCCTGATCAAGTCCCGTGCATGAAAACCGACCACTGGCCCACGTGGAAACTTGAGGCTTCTCGACACCACATTCGACAGCGTCTCCTCATTTCCCGATCCTTTGAAAGGAGTCCTGCCATACAACAGCTCGAAGAGGAAGATCCCGAACGTCCACCAGTCCACAGCACTGCCATGACCTTCGGATTTGATGATCTCCGGAGCGAGGTACTCGTGGGTCCCGACGAAGGAGTTTGAACGTGCGCTCGTGGGCTCCACCACCAGCTGAGGCAGTGGGGTAACCTGATGAGAGCTGAGGTCTGATTTCAACGACTTCCGGGATCTTGTAGCAGCGACCGAGAGAAGACGAGGTGTGAAGCAGGACATTTGCCAGGATGGGCGGAGACAGAAAGGGTCAATGCAGCTTGATTCAGAGCATGATGGGCTTGTTGATGTCCTCTTTGGGGGATCGATATCTGGAGATGTGGATTGTAGTAAGACTGGGTTGACAGCACACCTCAGCGAGAGATCGAAATCAGAGAGCATTATATGGCCGTCTTCTCTTACTAGAACGTTTTCTGGTTTGAGATCTCTATATACTACGCCGAGCATGTGCAGGTACTCCAGGGCCAGGAGTACTTCGGCAACGAAGAACCTGGAGATGTCCATTTGGCATCATCAGATTATTATGTGAAAAGCTAAAGACAAAAGTTATCATGTTCTGTTGGCATTGCAAACACATGTCAGTGAAGGTGGTGATAAGATTAATGACTAGAATTTCCAAATCAAGAACAAGAAAGCACTCAGAAACTCAATTATGAGATGGTACCTTGTTGCGTGTTCAGAGAAACATCTGTCGGGTTGCTTCTGCCGAAGTACATGGAGATCTCCACCAGGGCAGTACTCCATAACCAAGCAAGATAACTTTTCTGATAAAAAGTGAGCGTACAATGTCGGAAGAAACGGATGATCCAGCATCTGCAGAATCTCTCTCTCAGTTTGGGCCCTCAGCATTTTTTTCTTGCCCGCTAAAAATTCATTGTCCATTACTTTGAGAGCGAATCGGGAATCAGTACCAGAAAGTTCAGCCAAATAAACAGATCCAATATCCCCTCCACCAAGTTTCTTGATTAATTTAAAATGCCTCAAAGCTAAAACTCCATCCTGCCTTTGAATCTGTTGAATGGCTTCCCATCTCAAGTCCTTGGACATATGAGGTCTGTAACCACTATGACAGGACGAACCGCTAAGGCTGCTATCTACACTCATACTTGTGCTACTACTACTATATTCACCAATGCTACTACTCTTTGAATTCTGGGAAAAAGATTCACCCTTTTCTCTTGATATGGATCTCTCGTCAATTTTTGTCAGTTTGGAAATAGATCTGTCTCCACAACCAGAGCTGTTGCATCCCATTTTACTTGCACTCGTGTCCACGGTGCTGAAGCTGGACTCAATACTATTACTGGTGCTACCACTGGATGCTGGGGAAGCTCTATCACCGTATTCCATTGCACTACCAAGGCTAGGATCCATATCGTCACCTACCTTGATGTCACGTGAATTGGAACTACTGGAAGCAAATTCAGAATCTTTCTTTCCTTTCTTCTTCATAAAGCTCCTGTTCCTGAAGATTGGCTTTATAAATCTCGTAGTATTGCAAACAGGAGAGATTCCTGTTATACCATTACTTGAACCTGAATGTGAAGGCAAAGCATTAGACTGTTCTCCTGAACCTTGGATTGAGTCTAAAACAGTAGTGTCATCCACGTTTGGGGTTTGCTCATTACAAGATGAAGAATCTACAGCACTAGGGCTTTCAATTTCCAGCTTCGACACTTCACTAACAAAGCCTGTTGGAGCTATCTGGCACTTGGAAGAATCAGCACTTTGATCAGATGACCCTGCCTTATCAATCTGTGATAGTTCAACTATATTCTGAGAACAGCTTGATGTGACTGTTTCAGGTACAAGAGAGACTTCCACCACCTTTCCATCACCTTTGCTAGGAGTAAGACCAGATGAATCATTAGCCTCAACTACTACAGTCCTGTATAACATTTTACTGGATCCTGCCTCTGAAGCCCTAGCTGAACCTGTTGGCCTCGACAATCGCTTCATAGCAGCCATCTCTGATGCTTGAGATATGCATAGTCCCCGCAAAGCCTGCTTCAAACTCACCGACTCTGAGATGCCAATCCCGGATGCTTGAGGTGAACCCACTCTCATGGGTCTCTTCATGGCTTTCTTCAGCAGAGCATCTCTGCCACTGCCACCTTCATGGGATGAACCTTTAGTCCTTCGTATGTCTATTGCTTCAAAAAGACGATTTATGTCATCTTCTATCGAGTACTTGTTGGAAGTCGGAATGGAACTGTTTCCACCTTTCTCACCCATCTTAACTTCAAGACTTAATTCTGGTGTTGATTCCACAATCTCCGAAGTGCTTGATAATCGATCCATCTTGAGCGGATTCATCAGATGCTACAAAGGGGCTGGTGGGTTCAGCAAAAATCAAATTACCCAATCTCCAAAGAAGCAGCTTGAAGACAACCTAAGATGGTAACCAATGACGAAGTCATACTTCCTTCAAATGTCTCGTTAATCACTTGATCTTAAACCACAAAGGAGAGAACACTTCATTCACTTGAAACTGAAGCACCCAATCCCTGCCATGAACAGCAAAGCTTCAGATAAGCTAAGCACACGCCTTCATCCATTTCACAAACTTAAATCGACAACAGAAAAAAAAAAGAAACTATAGTCCTTTAGACAGTAAAAAAACCGGGTAGCAACTGAATTTATAAAGTGTTAGTTGCTTCAGCTGGTCCACTGTCTTTAGATCATTCATGGTGGTGGTACACAAAGGTAGGACATAAAAAGTTATCTACCAAACTAAATCTATCAGTATCTAAGACCGTCATTCCAAATGTAGATAAACCCTTGTACTCCCAGAATCGATCTCTCAATTAATTTCCTACCATCTTGGACAAAATTCAGAAGCTTCACTATCCTGTAGCCCTAAAAAAGACCAAATTTTAGAACAATTGGTTCCCAATTCCGATATCCGAGCCTATGATCATCAGCGGAAGGGGACCAAACTGAAATTCCAAATAACACATAAACTCAATAAAGCTAAACTCTAAGAAAGCAGACACCAAAAGGAAGCTCCGAATTCTCAAAACCAGAAAAGCAAATGAATCATCAGAATTCAGAAGAAGGAAAACAAGTAGCAGTGACCCAACAAAAAGCCTCCAAAGCCCATTTTCAAATAGACAGAAGCTCCGGGGAAAAAGCAACCAGCAACAGTGGCAGCAAACAGAGAGTAAACAGAATCAGGGGGGGACGACAAATTACCAGAAGACTGATCGACGATCAGAAAGCCACAGAGATCGAGAGCAACTCAATCAGAGAACAGAGACGGCAAAAGGAGAGGGAGGGGAGATGCTACAAGCCTACAACAACGCGTTGCTGGGGTAAAAAGGTTAGGGTTCGGAGCGGGGGGGCACGAGAGAAGGAAGGAGGAGAGTGAATGAAGAGAGAGAGAGAGAGAGAGAGAAAAAGGGTTGCAGTAAAAGATTTTGGTAGGAGGAAATGCTAATCACGAGAAGTAGCGCTGCTTTGCCTTTGCACTACTGTTCTTTTCTCCCCTGGCAATGGCGGAAGAAATTTCTGAGTACTGGAAGGGAAAGGGACGCTACTCCCTTTTTTTTTTTTTACACCTATACTATTTTAAATTTGTGTTGAGGTAGCCGGAGCTGCTGACGCCGTCGTTCTAGTAGTCGCCCATTGCAGTACACGTACGGTAGAGGCGGTGGTCGGGTGACGGGGAGTGATTCGAGACGGAGAAACAGAGCAGTCTTGGAGAAAGCGGCATTTGGACGGCAGCGGCAGAAACTATTTTTTTTTTCTTGTTCTTCTTCTTTTTGTGGGTCAGCGCCAAAATTTCCTATGAGGAAAGGGAAAAGGTAGGTTTAAATTACTAAATTGAAACCAACTTTTAGATTATTTTACAGGGGAAAAAATGGTTAAACTCATTGACTGGGTAAAGTAATAAGAAGTTAAGAACCAAGATGCAAAGCTTTTGTGGACAGTTCTTTAATATTTGAAAAGGAAAGCTCGTAAAGGAGACGAACACAGTAGTCAGCACCACTACCACATTTGGGTATTTGCAATTGGATTTGATGGGTGAGGACTGAGGAGTGAATTACAGATTGGATTGGGCTTCCTGAAAGCTTGGGTCTGATTACGTGTTGGGCCGGGATGATGTTGGGGAACACAGGCTGAGGCCTGCCAAATGCCAATATGTGGACGATCTGCGTATATACCTTTTGGGCTAAATTGCAAGTTTGGTTTTTTTTTTTTTCATTAGATCACTCTTCAGAAGAGAAAATCGTTTAGATACAAGGGGACTAAAGGGGTTATATTCCCCTAGAACGAAGCCAAGAACAGAAGTCGAACCTCGCAAACAATTGAGGCGACAAAAGCAGAGCATGACGGGCTACACAATGAGCCGCTCTGTTATGAATTCTACCAATGAACTGAATATCAACCACATCCATCCCATCCAAGAGTAAAAATATCTCCTGCAACAGGGCAACAATCTTGATGTCCGCTGCATCTCTTGCCACACATTTGTCAATGATTAATTTCGCATCTCCACAAAATGATATGGATCGGAGCCCACGTCTGCAGCAATCAAGTATACAATCCCGCAAGCCCAGGGCTTCCAACACATAGGGATCACTAATTGCTTACTCGAATTGCTACGAATGGAATAAACGAATTCGAGTGACCAAACGTGAAATTTTGTTGCAATTCGAGTGACCAAACTTGCAATTTAGCCATACCTTTTGAATGAGCGAATTTGCATCGAAAACCAATTAAACAACTGTTTTACTATTATTATGTCATGTCTTTCTTTGATAGAAAAAAAATTCATGTATTGATTAATTAGGTAACAGTGTTTTATTCAAATCTCATACTCATATCGACAAGTTATGAGAGATCTATGATTTATAAAGAATATCAGACCTTAACTAACAAGACATTTTTTTTTATAAAATGAATGAGTTTTAATGAAAGCTCTAAAATTAAATGTGCTCCATATCAAGCAGTGCAAAGATGGATGATATCTCTGCAAGTCATCATGATGCACCCCCTAAAAGCAAAACCGTGTGGGTAGACAACAAAACAGACAATATTTTCGTTAGGGAGAGATTCATGATCCACAAGGAACATCAAATCTTAACTGGTAGTATGCATTTTTGGGTCAAATAGAAGAGTTTGTGTCCAAACTTTAAAGTTAAATATGTTCAACATGAAAACGTGGAGAGGTGTGTGGCTTCTCTAAAGTTCATCATGATACACTTTCTACATGCAAAATAAACTTAATACGTACAATTTTTTAGTGAGGAAAAAAAGTCGAGGCATTGCAAATTCCGACTACAATACTGATTAAAAGTTGGCGCAAGTCTTTATTAGTTGTTATTCAAATTTAACCCATGAGTAGGGGTGGGCAACGATTCGGTTTACATCGGACCGAATCGACTCTCACACCGAATCGGATCGAACTGTTTATCTTTCGATTCGACTTTGGTTCCTAAATTTGGTTAATTTTTGGTTTTGGTTCGGTCCAGAACGAAACCATAAAATCAAGCTAAGGATCGGACCGAATCGTAATTAAATGAATTGCCTATTATATTATGCTCCGAGAAGGGAAGCCGACTTGGAGTTGAAAAGTGAGAACCGTAGTACCCTACACGACACTTAACTACCTATAAATATGATTGACTTTCCCTGACTTAGACTCTCCGCTCCGTCTCCTATAGTCTTACCCTCAAATCATGGTTCTCATCGGCATTGCTTCGATCAAGAGAGCTGCTTACTTGCACTCGTTCTTAGAGTAAGTGTCACTTTGTTAAACTACTTTCTAATGCCTTGTATCATGTGCTTATATATGCAGAAGAATTGCTTTCAAATGGACAAGCGGTCCAACGTGCACTGGAAATGAAAATGGAAGATTAGAGAGGCAATTAGTTCGACTACCTTTGAGATTTAATAAAAAGACTTTTGTCTTGTAATTTAAACAGTAGTTCACGTTTAGCTTTTTGCATAATATTTTGGAACATGTGGGTTTTTAAGAATTGTGGAGTATTTGAATTTGGATAATTTGATTACCTTTTTTGTGTAGTTGCATTTTTTAATTAATGTGTTGTGCTTTAAGAGTGATCTTATTCGAATGAAAGATTAGTTGGTTCAATGGGATGGTCCAGACCGAATCGAGCCATATATGGTTTGATGCAGACTGAATCGAAGTAATAACGATTCGACTTTGGTCCTTGATTTAGAAAAAAAAAATTGATCGGTCCGAGAGTGGTTTGGTCCGATCTTGGACCAAATCGACCGATGTCCACTCCTACCCATAAATGATAAAATTAGGTTTCGAAGTTGACCTTAGAAAATGTTTGCAATTTGGATACCTTAACGCAGCTTACCCATCTTAACATAAAATAACCACAATAACTATACCCCATAAAACTAGTTATTAACCGTAATTATTCTAATTTACAGAATCATTATATGATTGTGACTAAAACAGAGAATGTAACCCATTTTTCAACATGAGATTCCATATTTCATCACTAATCTCATTGTGTTATCATTATCATACTATTAGTTTATTACCATCGTTTCCTTTTTTGACTCTCGCTATCACATATTATTCCAACTTTGCTTAAATCTCTATAAAAAAAATCAATTCCACGCCTAACATTTCCCCAAAATAGCATAACAATTAGCAAAACAAACAATTCCTCGTTTTGAGCTTTTTATTTCCATTTTTTCGTTGCTATTTGTCAAGACATAATCCCTTTGATTAGATACCATAATCTCGTTTTTTACTTCTTAGACTGGAATATATCCCTGCTAGATATCCCGATCCATTGGCCCACTTGGACCCATTTCGGCGGACCCTTACCCGGCCCATTCAGGCCCATACCGCTCCCTCAAATCCCACTCTTCTTCCCCTTTACTTCTCTCACTTCTCAATTCGTACTCCACGCTTTCAGTTTCCTCTCCCCCCAATCAGTCTCCCCCTTCAATGGAGCCGCCGTCGATCGAGCACTTGGCCGACGACCTACAGAGCGTGAGCTTCACTTCCACCGGAACCGGAACCACCGCCACGCTCCACCGCAGCACGAGCTCCTGCTCCTCGTCGTCGGCATCCACCCTCACACCCGCTCCTTCCGCCCACACTTCCTTCTCTTCCAAGACGGCCGCCAAGCAGCAGCCGCAGCTGACGTTCTCGGATCTCCGATTCACCCTCCGCCTCGGATCCGGCGACATCGGCTCCGTCTACCTGGCCGAGCTCAAGAAATCGACGTCCACAGCCGACGCCAGCGGCGACGAAATCGCGATTTTCGCGGCGAAGGTGATGGACAAGAAGGAGCTGGTGAGCAGGAACAAGGAAGGGAGGGCGAGGACGGAGAAGGAGATTCTGGAAATGCTGGACCATCCGTTCCTCCCGGCGCTCCACGCCGGCATCGAGTCGCCGAGGTGGATGTGCCTGCTGACGGAGTTCTGCCCCGGCGGCGACCTCCACGTGCTCCGCCAGCGCCAGCCGCTCAAACGGTTCGACGAAGCCGCCGTCAGGTGCGCACGTTAGCAACACTTTCCTTCCTTCTCCCGTTTTTTCTCGATTTTTTGAAAATAGTAAAAAATAAGATTTCAATTTTTCTGGAAGTTTAGAACGGCGTGTGGCCGTCCCCTCGTCCTCGATTCCCGTTTCTCCGATTTCACGGCCGGCAGTCCGGCACCGTTTCTCTCTCCCCTAAACCGTTAGTTGCGTAACGAAACGACGACGAGGCGAGGGAGACGGGTCGAGGGCCCCGTTTTCCTCACCTGGGAGCACTGGCTTTGCCGGTGCCAGTCATTTGTGGTCCCCTACTGCACGGTCGCATCGACCGGCTTTTTCTTTTTTCCCTTTTTCGCCTCTTTTTTCGTTATTATTTAATTGATGAAATTGGGGGAATTAGTTATTTACTAACGGAGTGAAACAGTGAGTCTCACGGCGTTGTCGCCGTACACCCAGATCATATTCAGAAGGGAGGAGATGATCACGTGTGGTGTAGTCCACGTAATCATCCATGGTTTGACTTCTTCTTGCTTCCTTCTTTTTTTTTTTTTTCTTAAGCACAAGAAAGAGATCCCAGATCGCGCTAATGCTTACTTAACAACGTAAATTACGTGAACTTCCCATTAAGGGTAAACTTTATAAATGGCAAGGAGCAGAAGGGCCTGCCAATAATGCTAAACCATATGAAGGAGCCAGCTGTTGCTGTCGTTAGACCAGTTAATTGGCTCGGTGGGTGGTTGGATTATTGGAAATCTTGTGAGTTGTGTGCCTGGTGGTGGCAGAAGCCGTAGCCAACTCAACCAGCCTCATGGAGGCAGAGAGTCAGAGAGTAAATCTGGCGGTTGCGGTTGATGGGTCAAACCTAAGGTCCACCAACTGTTGTCAACAGTATTTTGTCCGGTTCATGAATTCCCTGTTTTTGACTTTTGAGTTGACTGAAGGGGAGCAACCCTATAGGAAGTTTGAAGTTAGAAACCATCTACAGTTTGAGCCATTAGATTGGTAGTGAAATATGGGTCTAGTTTGGAAGGGTGTCTGAGTTATGGGCATCGGTGGAGTACAAATGTGGGGCAGCTAACATTTTGCATGGTAAGTAGAAAGGGGGCGTGGGATTAAAGAGGGTGGATTCATGTCTACCCGTTTTTTTGTGGTGTGGAGTCATTTTCGTTTGAGTGAAAACTAGGCACCACAACCCTACTTTTCCTTTTGCTAGTTTTCATCTTTTGATTGAGACATACCAAGGAAGCGAGCCATAAACATTGAGACAAAGACATATACTTGAACCTTCAAGGTCGTACACCTCTTGATAGGCAATTGGATATATGGTTCCATTTTGGAATTGAAGAAGAAGAGATTGACCGGTGGTCCTTCTCCTTGGGACAGAGCATATGTGCATCCTTGTCCACATATGAATTGTGTAGCTCTTTTGGCATTATTGGTTGAGGGTTGCATTAGTGGTGGTGTTTCTGTGTACTGCTTTGGATTTTGGTATAAGGATAAAGATTATTATCCTTTAGCTTCATGCTTCATAGGGGTTGTTCATATTAATTCCTAGAATCACTATGACTAGGCTAGTGATTATCAGGGTTGAGAATATGTATTGTTACCTTTTAGCTGACTGCTTAGCATTTTAAAGATAAAAGATTAGACTTTAGTTGCTGATTCAAATGGTTTAAATCATACTAACCCCTAGAATCACTGTGATTAGGCTAGTGATTATCAGGGCTGAGAATATGTAAACTGTTACCTTTTTAGCTGACAGCTTAGCCTGCTAAGGATAAATATTAGACTCTATCTGCAAGATTCATATGGGTTTAAACTTCAATTCATATTAACCCCTTGAATCACTGTGATTAGACTAGTGATTATCAGGGTCGAGTATATGTAAACTGTTTCGCTTTAACTGACTGCTTAGCTTCTTTTAGGGCTATGTATTCACCTTCAGGCGTTATCTACCCAATTTGTGTTTGATGAACTTCTGCATGTAATGAATTTCCTTATCGTAGACTACTGTGAGTCTGTGACCAATGACCAAGATTGCATCTTACTTCCCTTCTTGTCTGCTTGTGAGTGCTGCTAGAATTAAGTATACTAATACAAGTAACCACTCCTTAATTTAAGAAACAGGACACTACATCTGCCCCCTTTAATCATGACACTCTCCCTTAGCCTTTTGTCACTTGGCCGTTTCTTTGTGGGCACTAAAGTGTTGGGAAGACCATTGCCATTAGTTTCCAATAATCAATGTCGTCGATTACGTGTTAATGTGCTATACTTTATCATATCTACATAAAGCCATCATGAAAACTGCCAAGTGATGGATCATTATCCCTCGTCGTCTTTTGGCTATTGTATTGTTTTGTAGCATAAAGGGAATCCATATGAAGAGGTACCC